GCAACCTGACGTGTGCAGCCAAGGTGGGCTGGGCAACATTGTGACTTTCTTTGTAGAGGAGAACGGTATAAGATATTGAAACAGTTCACTTACATAACCCACATCCGGTCGGTAACAAGTATAAGCGCCCAAAATACTGTGCAACGTGTCATGGTACGGACCGCCCTGAAAGGATCAACACACCAAAAACAACACGTGCGTAAGTCTGGTTAGTACTCACGACGGCGTGTGACGGCGCTGCTGCTCCTGCCGCCGGTCACGCCGGCCGTTTACAGACGACCAAGCAGCGGCCAAGCACGGGGCTAGCAGCTCTCCACGCACAGCGCAATTCAACAGGCGGACTACCAACCCGCGGTTGACGAGAGAGGCCGCAGACTCAACCCGCAAAGCTGCTTGGAAGGAAGCGGGCAGCTCAGGCGTGAACGCCTCCCGAGGAAACCACCCTTCGCGGGCTCCCGCTGGGTGACTATCTCCCCTGCCCAGTTCAGCGGGCACGCCCGCTCCCCGCCCCAGGGTTCTTCGGGAGTGAGCGCCACCCGCCGTCCCGACCGGCCTCTCTGCCTCCCTTCCCCGGATTCTTTCGTGTTTCTCAGCACGGCAGCGTCAAGAACTACCCTCCAAGCGTCCAGGCCCGCGAGCGACCGTGGTATTCCAGACACCCTCCCGGTTCGGCCATCCCTCCCAGACGTGTGCTGGGGCTTCCAGTCTTCTAAGTGAGTGCAGAAGCCAGTACAGAGCCGCGTCTGCCAGAGTCCGTGTGTCCGAAGATGCTGTGAAAGCACCGGCCCGGCCCGCATCCCGCTCTCCCTGCCCGCATCCGCCATGCGGCCTCAGTTAACTCGAGGACTAAAAAGCGTACACGGTGTGTGTGACGAGGAAGTCACTCTACAGGCGACTGCATGCGACTCAGAAAGAACGCCGTGGCCTCGACCATCACGTTCTGGCACACAGAAAACGTCAGGTGAAAGAGACACTGCCAAACCACAGGGGAACGAAGGGAGGAATGCCCACAACAGGAGGGTAAATGAGAGAAGGGGGACGGGCAGGAGCTCCTGTGGTGGCACCAAATGCCCCCCTGAACACGGGTGTGGACGGTCACCACCTGAGAAACACCAGAGTGCTACAGCGAACTTTCCTTACAGGTAAATTGGTTCTCACTTAAAGGACTTCCTGCCCTGCCGAATGCTACGTGTCCTTTCTCTGACAAAGATAACAGCTCCTGATCTTAGAAGCCCGTGCTCTGGCCATCTCCCCACACTCTCCCCTTCCCACTGCCCTTTGCTTTTGTAATATTACGTGTTATAAAATTCGGAGCTGAGGGAACCACAGACTGAGGACACACCCAGAGGAACCCGGAGGAAAGAAAAAGGCCAACTTCTCTGCCATCGGCCCCGACCTCATCCGAGAGAGATCCCTAAAGCTCGTCTTCTTCGGGACACATCTCCCTGCACCATGATAATCGCCCAGCGGATCTGTTGAGAAGGCTGAGTCCCCGAGAAAGACTCTGGGAGATCACTCTGGGTCGCCGGCCCTGGGAACACCGGCCGTCCGCGTCGGCAAGGCGCCAGCACCTCCCGGGCCCCGTCCCGGCGCTCCCACCGCCCTTCTCAGCTACGCTGCAAGTGCGTCTCAGCACTGCCCTGACACTCCCCTTCCTCCAGGGTGTGGGCTCGTGGATCGGCCACAGCGGCCAGGAGGCGGTAAGCAGGGGCCGCAGCACCGAACTCCATGCTCTCTGTTCGATCCTTCAGCGAGGTTCTCTCCCGGGGGAAGCGGAGATCCCCTGCACCATCCGCTCTCTGACGCTTCCCTTCTACTCCTCCTTCTGCCCGGAATGTCTTTCCCATTCTCTGGTCCCTACCCCAAGCACAGCCTGAGAGCCCTTCCTCGGTGACCCGGTTCCCGACACCTCCCCCACGCCCTGGCTGCAGCTCCCCCGTGCTGGGACACACCCAGGTTTCTGCAAAGCCCAGGGTCTCTAATGTCTACACCTGCATGCCGGGCTCACTCCAGGTGGCCGGTGAACCATGTGTTCTGGTTCCCTAGCGTGTGCATGGCACGATCCTAGAAATGGGCCTGACAGAAGGGGATCGGGGATTCCCAGGTTGCTCGGCAGGCCCCAAGGGGAGTGCATGGAGGAGGCCGGGGACACGTGTGGAAGCTGGTGCAGCGACCCACGAAGGATGGGCATCTGCGCCAAGTAAGGGTGGCGGGAACACAGAAAGGACAGATTCGAGGATATTTCAGAAGCAGAACTGGCAAAAACCGTAACAGACTGGATACGGGAGGGTCCAACAAGCCCCCCAGGTAAATGTCTGCTGTCGGAAGAAGAGGGCTTCTGTTCCAGAATCCACTGCTGGCAGCCCTGCGTCCCGTCTTTGCAAATTCAGAAGCCCACGGGAAAGCCCCACGGGTCTCTTTCCTGCCATCCAAGAGAATACTGCATCCTGGCTCCCGTGGCTGGCTTCTATACCCAGTGGTGTCACACTGTCCCCGGCCATCTGCTCAGAAGCCCACCCTCACTGCAACCCGCGGCTGCCAAGGACTTCTGCAGCCGCCCTGCCCCGCCCCACACCCCAGGCTTGACCACACCGGATCACGTCCTGAGTGGTGCTGTGTGCGGCCCCAGAACTGAAGCAGCACCAAGGGAAGCTGTCGGACAGAACAGCACACGGGCCCTTCTCATGCCACACCTACCAAGGCTTCCATAAATACATTTCCAAAGGAGGCCAGAAGGGCCTTTAAAAGCAGAGACGTGGCCATGCTAAATGTCTGTTGGAAAGAACCAGTTCCCCTCATTGGTGAAGTCGAAACGTATTGACATGACACTGCCCTCCCCCCATTCCCCCCAAAATCCCCTAGTATTTTCAAACTTGATCACAAACGTGTACGGTTTGGCGTCTATGACGTTTAGATGAAACATACTCAAAGCAACAAATTACCACCACTTACTTGCTGGAAAATGCAGAGATTCGGAAACGTTCTAGAAATGTCCAGTTTAATAAGCTCCAAACTGGCTTCTCGGTCTGCTGCTGAAAAACCGGCATCTATCAAAAGATCAAGAGTCACGACACCTGTCAGGGGCAAGCAAGTGCGAAATCAGAAGGCTCTGAAGCTTTACAGGGATCAAACAGGGGAGCTGCTCTGCACAGGGACAGGGGCCCAAATGCAGCGTGAGCCAACAGACTCCACTTTGGGCTTCCAACAGTTTGTGGGGTTTCTTACTGAAGAGCAACGTCTCACAGCCCCGTGTGATGCTAGGTCATCATTAGGTATCTTCCAGGGTCTGAAATCAAAACCTGACTTGATGTTACCTTACGTCAACAAATGGGAGGGACAAATGAAGGACGATACACCAATGGCTCCAGGCCGGGGAAACAACAACACACGTTTACACGGTCTCCAGCATCGCTGGTGGGAACTCAGCCTGTGCGGCAGTTACCGCGGGGGACACTCTCGTGTTCCGTTTCTAAGAAATGTTTACGGATGACTAGTTTCGTATTTTTTGAACTCCAGCACTCATAGTACACAAAAAACCACGACAAGGTACTAGTTAACCAACCGATGTCATCATTCCTGTGCATCACGGAAATTCCAGAAGCTCATGTGGCAAACGTGCAGCGCCCCATCTCCCTGGGGTAGTTCCCATAATCCTGCATGAGGCAACCCTGGCCCAGCCCTAGGGGCCAGCCTGCTGGAAATCACGTGAACAGTGAATAAAGGAAACCCCCCCGGTTAGGACCGGCCCTCTTGCACGTCTGGACACAAACACCCCGCAGGAACTGGTAAATGCTTTCTCCTAAACGTTGTTTCTTCAACTTGTTTGCTCTAAAAAAATCCCTTTTCCTGTGAAGTTTTTTTGTAAATTTGCACCAACCACCATGCCTGTTAAGTAAACTCTGTTGGTTATGTAATAAATAAGGACACACGTAATTGACCAAGGTGGCCCGCGGGACTCAGAGCCACGTATACCTTCGTTCTCCGCTTCGGAGCCTCCTGTGCTGAAGGACCGCCACCTCTCCTTGGCTCGGGCAAGACAGATGTCAAAGAGCTCTGGAAAAGAAGCCTCCGGGTAAGTGTCACATGCACATGGGAGTATGTCTCCTCACAGGAACCAGAGAGGACACTGCTGCCTGTTCAACCACAGACTGCACACCCATTCAGCCACGTACACAAGTCCCCCCAACGCGGCCAACGACACCACCAGGGACTAAGAAAGAACACACGACAGACCACTTGCCTGGCGTCTACTTAAATTACACAACTCACCCATACAATGCTTTCATGTCGGACTTGTTTGTGGGTCTAATGCCTCTAGCAGGGTGAGCTCCTCGGGGGCGAGACCACAAAGGTCTTTCGCTCATTATGCGTCCAGAGCAAACGGCGCCGGGACAGACACAGATCAATACAGTCAATGGGTATCTGACCGATGGAGGGGGGTAGAGACCAGCGGAAACCCATCTGGTTTCAGACAAGGACAAGATGAAACTGCTACCCTCCACGGCCCAGCCTTCCTAAACTTGCTGCCTGAAGCGGGGGGGTGGGGGGGGTGGGGGTGGGGGGGGCAAGCAAAATGGGCAGAAGCTTCAAAACCTACAGGTTCTTGCTGGCGGGGCACCACCAGGATGAGTCCCCACAAGGCAGGCTCCAAATCGCCCGGTCCCAGTGCTGCCCGGCCATCCACGTCCGGATCACGGACGGGCCCCAACGGATCACTAAGACTTTACCCGCAGCTACCCAGAGAACTTCTGTGACCTTATTTTCCCCACTGTTACCTGCAGAAAATAAGGCAGAACACCACCTCTGCCTTCCAGACAGCACATGCTATTTTTTAAAATCTAAGCTGAGAGTTCCAGTTAACAGTATGATGCTCCAACAGGTGAAATCTTGATTAATGACCTTTCTCCAGCCTCGTCAAAGATCTGAGAGCCAGCATGCTAGTGGGCCAGGGCAGAAAAGGGTATGACTGTGAAACGTAACCTCACCCTATCATCGTTAGACAGGAGGGTGTGGGGAGCCTCGGCCTGCTCTCACTTTCCAGGAGGTGGGCCCAGCTTCGGTCACGGTAGCAGAAGACGGAAGCGAACGGCCACGTGGCCCCTGAGCACAGGGAGCCCCTTCCCAAACGAGGTATGTGACAGTTAAAGCACAGACGCCAGCGGGCTCACGGGAGGATGGGTCAGAGGGTCAGGGTTTTAAAAAATATGATCTCCGTGGCTTTACTCCTGTGTCAACGGGGACACCTTCTTCCCAAATCCAATTTCGGAGCACAAGCCTGACTTCCCTAACAGCGGATCACTTCCCTAATAACTAGTATCACACTGACTTCCAGTTAAGCGCCCAGTCTCACAACCACAACCTTTAAGAGCAAAACTCCAGGCCTTCCCAACTTGGGAACGCGGGCTTCAGAGTCAGGCAGGGGACAGCCTCCACCACACACGAGCGTCTGGGGCACAGGATGGCCGTCAACGCTCTGTGAGACGTGCAAGCAAAGACTCTAGTGTGATGTCCGGCCTGGACAACTGGAATTCACGACCATCTGTGTTCTTACACTGGCTTAAATATTCAGTGAAACGAAGATCAGGTAGAGCCCAATAGGTGGCATTCGTTCATTCAATGCACCTGTCGCGTGCAGAGCACTGGGCTGGGCACAGGTGACACAGTGGAGAGCATGACAGGCGGGACCCCAGCTTCCTGAGCACCAGCTCTGGCGGGGGCCACGGACGCTAGGCAGCTCCTCAAAAAAGATGCAATTTAAGTAAAATGAGCGAATATCAGCGTTTAGATAAACTTGCAAGGCATGTAACTGATTAATTAGCTGTGTAGCCTAATCTGTTCTGATATGGTCCACAGAAGACTCTAATGCAAATAAAATCTACCCAGGCATCAACGAAAACCAGACACACGCACACAGTACTCCGTACCACAATCGGCCATTGAAAGAGTTTAGAAAGTTTTCAAGAATAAGGACCCGGATAATCGCTCAGCAGTTCCTCCACACCTCTACCTCTGGGGAAGCTTTTAACAAATCAGTTGCTACAAGTTAAATGTTACACATCATCGTCTCACATGAAGAAGGTAGAGTTTTGGTTGGTATGGGTTGGCCAAAAAGGGAGCCTTGAGGACATCACTATGTATAGAAACCAGTAACCATCCACTGCCTGGCCAAGGCCACGATCATGGAGAGAAGATGAAAGTCTTGTAAGATTAACAAAAAAAAAAAAAAAAAAAAAAAAAAAAAAGCAATAAATAAGTAACACGAGCCCTAGCTACACAGAGAAGATCCAAATTAATCTGTTTTCAATTCCAATGTCTTCAACAGGGTAAAAACCGCCACCATCAATTGCACAGGCACTTCCTGGGCACCAATACAAAGACGACGAGGAAGCAGGTCCGGTCTCAGCAGCTGAGACCACAGCCAGGGAGAAAAGGAAGAAATAGAGACCACCATCTATCAAGCACGTAATCGTAAGTCTCTGAGCTCCTGGCGTCCATGGCCCGTTGCGCACACAGGCTCACTGGGGGATGGGCTCAGAGCGGAAGGGAGCCCATTGGGCGCCACTGAAGGAGGACAAGGGCCAGTGCACCACACAGGGCATCCAGCGAGACAAACAGCCCTAAGAGAGGGGAGTACGCATCTCGAGGTCTCCTCTGGCACAAGCTACCGGTGCCTCAGGGGCCCCTGCGCACAGCAGCCGTCCCTCTAAGGTGCCTGGAACAAAATGCTGCAAAAAACCAACAATCCCCCAAACAGGATGCCTCCACAGAAACCCTGTCATGTGCCCATCAAGACGTGCTGTCCACAGGACTCTGACATGCCTGCCCCAGCCCGCCGATGCTCTGAACTACCAGGTAACTGAAGCAGCTAGGAGTGACCCCGGCCTCCCGGAGGACGGTCACCAGGCCTCTCACAAGACACGGCTTCACGGCAACGGCTGCCTTTCTTCCTAACAGGCCAAAGGGGACAGGAGAAGCCAGAAGGCTGGGGGTGGAGGCTGGCGGGGGTATGACAAACGGATTCTCCAAGCCTAGGACCACGCAAGCTACTCACCATGGGTGATGTTTAACTCGTTGCCAATGGCTAAGCTCCAGACTTTGCCTCTCACACTGGGAGGGATTCCCTGCCACCATAAATCTCGAACTTTTCTAGAGCACCACCTGGACAAAAATGGAAGCATGGAATTATGAGTTTGTTCTCAATGAAGAAATCTGTTTGCCCGTGTGCCGAGCCCCAGACCACGAGAGCGGGGGATACACAGTCACGTGGTACAGACCCTGCCCTCAGGGAGCCTGCAGCCCAGGGTTCCAGAGGCCAGGAGATCAACAACTGGCTTCCACTGGGCAATGGCTGTGACAGGTGCGCCAGGGGCCCCACCTGAGCAGGAAGGGCGCTGTAGCTCAGGGGACCTGGGGTGCTATTCTGGAGCTGAACCCCGAGTGACCAGTAGCAGGTGAAGCAAACAGAGGCTGGGAAGGGCTTTCTGAGTGGAAGGCACAGCGACAAGAAATAAGCCTGGCCGGCTGCAGGAACTGCCGACAGCTGGGCACGGCGTGGGGGTGCCGGGAGGCACAGCCACAGAGCCGCAGGGGAGGGGACCCCGAGAGCCCCGTGGCCGGCCACCGCACTGCTGCGCACCGGCCACCTGGGTAATGAGCTGCCAAACTCCACTGGCAGAGGAGACTCTGCTAACCCAGAACGCTCGGAACTGCACAAAGGCGCTGAGGTCTGCTGGCCGCGACGGACACGCTCTGCCAACACACCGGACAAACGTAAAGTGCCAAAGACTCCCCAGGCGCCTCTCAATGCAGCGCCAGCTGGTGCTGCAGGAACCGGGTCTGCATCCCGCTCCACCCACACCCGCGGAGCCCAGAGCAGATCGCCCCCCTCTGACCCCGTAACGTCCCCGCTAACACCCGGATGGTGAAACCCTCCCCTCCAGGGGCCGTACTGAAGATTAAGGGGGACGGAGCACAGAGGTACCCGGCACAGTGCCTGGAGCCCCGCCGGCGAACTGAATGGCAGCTGTCATATAAACGCACGCATCTAGATCACGTCAAGCGTCGGACAGCACAGCGCGGATGGGGAGGGGCGGTTCTGCAGCCCCAGGGCTCTGAGCACCTCAACCCTTGTTACTGGGTCCCAACTGAGAAAAAGGGTTTCCCAGCCATGTCCAGCCCAGAAAAGCAGGCTCTGGGAACAGCTTGTTTACCTAGTAGACATGCTCAACGGCCATCTGACCCCGTGACGAGAGCGAGTAACAGCCGGGCAAGTGCCAGAAACAAGTCCCCAACATCCTGCCACACGGTTCAGTGGGAAGGGACAAGAGCTGAAGGGAAATTCGCATCCAAGCTCCCCGGCATCCCAGCTAACGGGCTGAGGCCCGAAAGGAGGCACCGGCCTCTGTGCGTGGCCCTGGGACTGCTGTCCCCTCTCCATTCTGAACACGCAGGAAGAAAAGATCTACGGCTGCCCCTCTGCTGTTAAGACGACTGCAGCGGCCAGACTCTGCTGGGTACTGGCCAGTGGGGGGTGTCGTCAAAGAAGACCCGGTCCCCATCTTCAGAAAGAGGACTATAGACACGTGAGCACATGGATGCAGCAGACCCAGGGGTCTTCTACAACCAGGAAGGTTTTCCCCAAGGAAGTCTCAGCTTTAAAGAATGAAGAAGTAGCTGGATGAGGAGTTACAGGGCAAGAGCACTCTAGGCAAAGGACATGGAACACGCAAAGGCCCTGCGGCTCCCTAAGAAAAGGGCTCATCAAGGAAGGAGAGCTGGAAGGTGAGCCTACAGATAAAGCAGCGAGCTATCTCACAAAGGAATTCACACTGTTCGCGGAGTAGCAGGAAGTCACGGACACTCTATACAGGGAGGGACACAGACCTGGGCTTTAGAAGATCCCTCTGGCTACTGAGCACAAGACAAACTGGGGGTTAGATGGGGGCTGTCACGGGGTCCAAGCAAGGATCGACAGGACGCAACCGAGGCGGGGAGGGAGACTCCAGGCCACGCGAACATATTAGGTAAATTCGCCGAGGGCTGTGATGGGAGCTACAGTGAACAGCACCGCCAGCTACAGGTGTCAGAGAGAAGCGCCTGGTGGCCTAGCAGCCCGACTACGCCGCGGCTTACATTGTCTCCCAGTTAGGCAAAACCTCGTTGTTCCAGGTGAGGACGGCGTTCCCGATGCTCTCCTCCAGGCGGCACCTCTCCTCTAGCTGCCTCCTTCTCCGCTGCGCCTCCTTCAGCTCTGCCGACCGCAACCGGAAGCAAGAACAGAGCACCTGTTAACTGACACCCACCCTGTTCACGCCGCGTGACTTTCCTCAGGGTCATGCTGCGAAGCCACCACAGGCCTCTCTCTCTAGACCCATTTCAGGCTCACGGAGTTTCAAAAGCTCAGGTGTCATCCATCTCTTGGGAAGCTTTTCGGGCAGAGCACACGTACGGAGGCGGTACTCATGTAAGAACACAGTTCACCGATCAAAAAAAGAAACCCGTGAAATCCACCGCCTGGTGGCCCACCAGAAGCCCGTGGCCCCTGTCCGATGCCCTTCTCAACAGAAGCCCCAGCCTCGCCCCCCTCCTGGTGTGTAAGCAGCCCCCCTGAGAAATACCCTGCATCTTAACTGACACATCCTTTCTTGTATTTTTTTTATGGTGGTAAAACACCCAAAACAAAATTTACATCTTAACCATTTTAAATGTAGGATCAGTGGCATTGAGCATGTTCACGCTGTTAACGCAGCCATCGCCATCGTCCGTCTCCAGAACTTTCCCGCCTTCCCAAAATGAAACGCCACACCCGTTAGACACGGACTCCCGTGCCCTCCTCCCCCGGCCCCCACGTTTCTACTTCCATCTGTGTGTCCTTCAGTGAGTAGCCTCTTTCACTGAGTGTAAGGCCCTCCAGGTTCGTTCCTATGGTAGCACGCCTCAGAACGTCCTTCCTTCTTAGGGCTGAATTAATATTCCACTGTATGGATGGGCCACATTTTGTTGATTACATATACTTTTCAAACACGCTGGACTCCTAGGGATTTTAAGTGTTGCAAGGGATTTTATCAAATCCAATCACATCTTCTTGTAAATAAGGAAAAGAGAGCAGAGGGGGGGGAGGAAGTCTGCGCATCACCACTGGCTGAAGCTTTCCCCAAACCAGCACTTTCACCCTGCACGGTCTCTTTTCTTGTGTAAATTCTATTACCTTGAATAAAGCTACCGGGAATGGACGGTTAGTAGAAACATACACTTTTGATGGAACATTATAAACTTCAAAACATTGAGACATTCCCCAAGGTTCAGGATCTAGGGCTCCAGAAGGTAAAACACTCTCCAGAAAGAGACAAAAATCTCGTGCTGTCTTACACAACCGACACGCAAGAATCCCGTTACCTCGTTTTTTGGCCTGAACCACCATTTCTTCATACTGCTGCCTGTGTTTCTGGGCTTCTTCAGCTGGCTTCGCTGGGAGATTTCTTGATAGAAAATAAACAATTTTCACCATTTTAAATAGCAAACAAAAGTCGTTGAAAAACAAAACTTTCAGACTTACTTACTAAAAAAAATGACACACTCAAAGACCAAAAAACTACATTTGTTACAAAGACACAACAATTTCATAAACTAAACATACTTACGGACGCTAAAACAAGCTCACTGTAAACAACCTGAAGTACAAAGTTCACTAGAAAGAAAAGAACAATTGCCCACGGTCCCAATAAACACTTCACCTTTTGGAATTTTTCACCCCAGCCTCCAAAGCAACTGTGAGCTGACGACGCACTAGTTAACTGTCACGGTCACGGCGAACCAGGGGCCCTCCGGAAAGGTGGCACACGTGTACGAACACGTTCCTGGGCCAGTTTCTCAGGGGCACAAGGTCTGTTCGTATCCGCTACTGGCTCATCTGTTTGGTTTCTTATGCACAAATGTGCACCACAGTTCTGAGCACCTGCATGGGGTGTGCAACTTCGAATCCTGGGTAAAAACACTAAAATGCAGGCTCCTTCAGGAAAGCGCGGGAGAATCTGCTGGCCCTTGACAAGTGGGAGGCGGCAAGGTCTGGCTGGTGCACCCCGCGTTGGGGCACATTCGGAAAGAGCCACCGCCCTGCTGCAGGAGGGCACGGTGCTGTCTCCCGGAGGCCACCATTCTGGGGGCGCTGCGGGAGCGGTGATCCTCAGTGGGCTCTTTCCACGTCTCTGTCCACCTTCCTAATCCGGCACTTCAGGGATTCTCTCCCCGTCCACGACATACCCCCCAATTCCAAGGACCACGAGTTAACATCAGAAGACGCATTTCTTCTTTGGGTTTTATCCGTTTTAAATTTCAGAATGGGCGGGGACCCAAGGGACGGCTGCTCTACAATCTCTCTTTCTCCCTCTTTTCACAGCTGAGGGATCTTTCTGTTCAAGCGCAGTGTTCTATGGAAGCTCGATACTGAAGCGAGGCGAGCTGCGGCCTGTACCTCCCTAAGGTCTCCAAGTGTGGTCTGTAAACCCGTCCTCAAAACCGATCTCATCCGTGCAGGGACGCTAGAGGCCCAGAGAGAGGCGGGCCTGGTGAGATCGCTGCAGCCCGTGTGCTGCAGATCCCACAGAACCCAGCAGGCCAGTCCAGGACCTGTCCTACAGGACGGGGGCGCCCCTGCAACCCCGCCTGTGTGCTACATACACTTCCCGGGGTTCTGACAGTTACAAGCCGGTCCACGATTTACAACAGCTACTTAAGTATCTCTAAACGCTGAAGTAAAATGAAAAACCACTTGAATGGAAAACCCGGAGTCAGAATTTCTGTGTTAAAGGACAGTTTTCCAGATAAGTTCTTTTATTATTATTATTATTATTATTATTATCAGAGAACACATGTCAATGTAGGGAATAAAGAGGAAATGAGGATTTCTGATATGAAATAGGGCTTACTCTTCTCCCCCAGCCCTTTTCTACTGTAAACTGTACTTATCTACTAAAGCAAACATGCTAGAGAGTCTTTTAAGACTCATGCTGGTCTCGGGGCGCCTGGCTGGCTCAGTCGGTTGAGCGTCCGAATTCAGCTCAGGTCATGATCTCACCCGTTCCTGAGTTCAAGCCCCACGTCAGGCTCTGTGCTGACAGCCTAGAGCCTGCTTCAGATTCTGTGTCTGCCTGGCTCTCTGCCCCTCCCCTGCTCATGCTCTCTCTCAAAAGTAAGTAAACATGAAAAAAAAAAAAAAAGAAAGAAAAGAAAAAGACTCACGCTGGTCTGTCTTCCAGGATGAGTGCGGTGGTAGAAAGTGGCTCAAAATCAAGATTCTTCCTCACATTCTGCTTCGGAGAGGGCGGCTTGCTAGGTCGTCCAGCCTTGTCTTCATATTCCTGGGACAGAGAAACAAGGCATACCTGTGGGCCTGGCCAGCTCAGGTGTTATGACACCCTTCCGAAGGCGAGAAAGCTGTTTTGTAATCAAGTCTTTCACGTGATTTTGAGGATAATGCACTGAAACCACTTCCTTTTCAGAAGGAAGAGCCACCCACTAAAGGGGTCCCAACAGCCCCGTGGGGAGAACCGTGCCCCTCCCCCACGCGGGTGGGGGAGCCGCCGAGGACCGCCATCCCAGCAGCCCCTTTAGAAGGGCCCACAAGCCACCTCGGGTGTGCTCCGCTTCTCCTGGGTTAAGAGGCGTATCTTCCGGCTTCTGAACAACGTCAAGTTTTACTGATGATTGCAGTGGCCGCTGGGAAGCTCAGAGCCAGAGCAACAGCCAATTACGGCACCCATCTGATCCCCCGGCTTCATCTCATATACCCACTCCCGACCGAAACCTCAAACCCACTTTCTTTTGTCTCATCGCATTTTATGTATTTTTGTTGGCTTTAAATCGCTTCTGCGATGGAAGAGGTTAAAAATTTTTTGCGGAAGATGAAAAAGCTGTTTCACTTTACATATGTATTTTTTTTAATTGAAATCCAGGTGACACAATGTTATATTAGTTTAAGGTGTACAACGTACCAATTCCACAGACAGCTCTGTGTTATGCTGTGCCCACCTCGCGTGCAGTTACCGCCTGTCCCCACACAGCACTAGGACAGGATCACTGACTCTATTCCCCGTGCTGCGCACTTTGTCCCCATGACTCACTCGCTCCACAGCTGGAAGCCTGTATCTCCCTCTCCCCTCCACCCAATTTCCCACCCCCACCCCCTCCCCTCTGGCCACCACCAGTGTGTCCTCTGTATTTACAGATGTTTCTGCTTGTTGTTTATTCATTTGTGTCGCTCTTCACATTCCACACATGAGTGAACTCATCTGGTATCTGTCTGACTCATTTCACTTAGCATAACACCCTAGATCTATCCATGTTGTTGCAAATGCTGTTTCATTTTCTTTTTTTAAAATTTTTTAAAGTATTTATTTTTTGAAAGAGAGAGACAGAGTGCGAGTGGGGGAGGAACAGAGGGAGAGGGAGACACAGAATCCGAAGCAAGCTCCAGGCTCCAAGCTGTCAGCACAGAGCCCGACGCGGGGCTCAAACTCATGAACCGTGAAATCATGACCTAAGCCGAAGTCGGACGCTTAACCGACTGAGCCACCCAGGCGCCCCTGTTTCATTTTCTTAAAAGCAGAAACATAAAAAAATTCTTTAACATCTTT